GAATCGTATCATCTCCAGACCGTGCCGACTAAAAGTTATGAATTGCACGATGATAGACAAAACCGTTTTCGTATACCACAGCATCAAAGTTTAGGCATGCTGCCAAAATTACTATTTAGGCTTTATCTCTGCAATGCCTTCACATTTTGACACCAAACTTTGCATGTGTCATTGTCACCTCACTCTGACCACATCACATCTATTTCGTAACTGCGCCACCTATTGTTCGAAAGTGATAACCCATTAAATCATCTTATAAGTTAATGTTTATGTGATTTTTTTAGCCATTTGCCCAAAGTTCTCTCAAAATGCCCTTAATTGCTCCTTGCTGCAGTTGGTCTGCCACTCCTTGCCATTTTGGCATATGTTGCCGCTTCTTGCGCTTGGCCCCGGTAATGGCTGCTTGCAGCTATATTTATTATTATTATTCTTCTTCCGACTGGGCGTCTATGGCAGCCCATAGACCGGTTTGCGGGAAAGTTGTTTTGGTTTGACATTCTGATAGAGGACAGTCCCAACTTTAAATACACCAATTTTGGTGTCTCTAACTCATTCCCTCTAGCGCCACCAACTGTCCAAAGTTTCACTTTTATTATGCTAATAACTTTTGAACCGTAAGGCCTATCAACAAAATTCTTTTTTCCTCTTGTTCCTGAGCTCATGCCGATTCGATCGCACCCTATGACGTCATTTTCCGTCATAAAAAAACGGCCGCCATTTTGAATTTTCCAAAAAACCTACTTTTGCGAACTCGTCCTAGACGGTTTGTCCGATTTTCACCAAAATCGCACCGGATCATCTCCAGGCAGTGCTGACAAAAAGTTATGGAATTCAAGATGATTCGAATAACCGTTTTCGATAAACGCGTAAACAAAATTTACGTAGCGCTTGCGAAAACAGACGTGAGGTTGTATCTCCGCAACGCTTACTCGTTTTCACACCAAACTTGGTACGTGTTATCACAAGCATGACCTGAGGCTACGTGCTGCGTTTCGGCGCAGCGCCACCTAGTGGTCCGGAGATATGAAAAATGGCTATTTTTGCTCGTAACTTCTGAACGGTTTGTCCAAAAATCAAAATTTGGTCTCGTTAGATTCAGGGCGTCATGCCGAGTCGACCGATATCCAATTTTCCCAGATCGGCCATTTTGGCTGTCGGCCATTTTGAATTATGTGCTAAAATGCTGTATTTTTTGAACGCATGAACGAATTGTTACGAAACTCGTTATGGGTCATCAGTACGATGCCCTGAAGGAGCCTGAGAAGTTTCGAAACAGCGCCACCTAGTGGTGAATTGTTTTATTCAAACGCTTATAACTTTGGGTGTGGTACACTTATTTTCACGGGAGTCATATTTTTGAGGTCCTGAATCGTTGCCGAGTCCAACGATACCAAATATGTCGGGTTTCGTCTCACGGATGGCGTAGCGTAGCGATTTAGCGCGAAAAAAACACTTGGCGATATCTTCAAAACCGCTGTTCCGATCGAGACGAAACCACCGCCAGAAACACGGAATCATAGCTTGTTAACTATACGCTAATGCCCAAATGCGAAAATATTGATAGTAAGGGGTAGTAAAATTCAAACAAAGTCATGTGTCAGTCATTTTTTACGTGTTTTTTCATATAAATGTTTATAACTCGGAAGTAAATTGAGATATTTGCACCAAAATTGACACACATATGTATGGGGTCACTCTGAGGACACATAAAAAAAATTGTGGGACTGAGCCTCTTGGTGGCGCTATAATAGAACAAAACGTGAAATTCCCATTGACTTCAATACAGTTTTGTGAAATACAATGCTATACTAAACAAATGCTTGGTCTAACATTACGAAACTCAGTGTGTGCCATAAGCAGCATGCCCTGAAGGTACTCAAAAGATTTTGAGACAGCGCCACCTGTTGGTCAAAAGTTATAATTAATTTCTGAGAACGCTAATAACTTTTGAATAAATTTGCCTATTGCAATGAAACTGATCTTAATAGATTCCTTGGGTTATGCCGAAAACATAGATATCAGGTTTTGCATAATCAGCCAAACTTCCTGTCCGCCATCTTTATTTCTTTGAAAACCTTCTTTTTCGAACTCCTCCTAGACCGTTTGTCCGATTTTCACGAAAATTGAATCGTATCATCTCCAGACCGTGCCGACTAAAAGTTATGAATTGCGTGACGATGATAGACAAACCGTTTTCGTATACCACAGCATCAAATTTGAGGCATGCTGCCAAAATTACTATTTAGGCTTTATCTCTGCAATGCCTTCACATTTTGACACCAAACTTTGCATGTGTCATTGTCACCTCACTCTGACCACATCACTATTTCGTAACTGCGCCACCTATTGTTCGAAAGTGATAACCCATTAAATCATCTTATAAGTTAATGTTTATGTGATTTTTTTAGCCATTTGCCAAAAGTTCTCTCAAAATGCCCGTAATTGCTCCTTGCTGCAGTTGGTCTGCCACTCCTAGCCATTTTGGCATATGTTGCCGCTTCTTGCGCTTGGCCCCGGTAATGGCTGCTTGCAGCTATATTTTACATTTGATTGGTCAATGCGTTTCAGTTTTCGGCGATACTGATCCTGAAAACCCTAAAACACTGTTTATTTCATTTGTATTTTCGCGTTGTTTTGTTTTAGTCAGTTTTGTTAGTTAATTCTTCTTGCATTGCTGACTGTTGACATGTCTTCTGAGGACTTTTACTTCGATCAATTCACACAGTATTGATTTGTGCTTCAGTGCAGATCATTTTGAAGTTTCATTTACTTGTATCATTAAATAATCATGATTTCAATATTGACCAAAAACAATCGTGCTTATGATTTGTGCCGTAACCGAGAAGCCCTGTGGGATATACAACATTTTAACATCCAAACAATAACATGAAGAGGTGTGTGTTGCTCGCTTTCGGGTAAAGCTTTCCACGACTGCACAACTGGGTTATAGGTTGAGATGCAAACGGGTTGAATTGTATACGGTGTGTGGATAGAGTGAATATAATGCAACTGGTCAACATTAGACAAACATATTGGTTCGATTGTTCATAAAGGAGTTTGGGCCAGGCAAATTACGGGAGTTTCCCGGGAGAAATAACAAACCAGGAGGGAGAAACCCGTGAGAAAAAAACTGGAGAAAGCCGGGAGAGTGTTGACAGGTATGCATCCCACCTCTCCCGGGACAGGAGAATATTGATAGTGGCTCCTTAAATGACATAAAATATCCCTGAAACGGAGCAAGCGAGAGAGAAACGCTGTTACCGCCAGTTATTATGATCAGCTAGGACTCATTCCCGTTACACCTGTTATTATCATGCTTTCAAACCTGGACACTTGTGTGGGGACTTTGTGGAGACCCTCGCCTCTTACTTCATCACACTATCGAGTGACCCCACCCGACGGGAATGAAGATCCTGTAGTGTATCATTCACGTGTGTGTTTTTCCCCTGGCTGGGATGCTCCTCCTTCACATGAAACTTTAAACAGGGTGCTCTCGTTATCATTAATTATGCGAGAGAGTGATTATCCCAGCACTGACCTCGGACACCGAACACATCACTAAAACATGGCTGTCAAACCTCCCGGGTTTCTCACGTATTTTAGCTCTTTTCCCGCTGTTTTCCCGTTTTAGTATTTTCCCGTAAAACATCCCGTATTTTTACGTTCTGATTGTGTGAGACGTAAGCTCGGACAGATTCGGCTTGAAGTCGTTTATCCTCGGATGCGGCGCTGCGCACGCTGTTATAGGCAGGAGACACACTGGCCGTTTTTATTTTGGCTCTCTAATGTTAACAGATTAGAACTTGCACACTGCATCTCCAGAAAACGCGTGCATGCTAGAAATACAACTAACGTATTGAAAGCGTTTCCAGGCAACAAAAAAAAAAAGGAAAGAATGTTTGTCATTTTGTACACGAATACATATTAATTAATTACCATTTTGATGTTTGAAAGTCTAGGTTTTTACATAAATTCAGATATCAATGTAATTTAAACAAATAATAATAATAATAATAATAATAGTAATTATTGATTTTCAAATATTGCCATTATTTTTGACTATATATAATTTCATGTCATTAAAAAAAAAAAAAAAAAAAACATCGAGTCCTGGTGTCCACTACAGAGGTCATAACATATGAATAAAATAAAGCAAAAATTATATATATATATATATATATATATATATATTCATTTGTTTCTTATGCTCTTAACAATGTGATTACATGAAGAAGAAAAAAAAACTTTTGGGAAAAAAAAAAAAAAAACGTTCAGGGCATCATAGGATAAACAAGTGTGTCTTCTGAGTGACAGTCCATTATCAGGCTTAATACATGCTCTTTAAAGCTACACAAAATGTGTAAATGTTATTGAAATTAACAGACAGCCCACATCCCTGTTTTGCGGATTTTGGAAGATGTGATAACAGTTGAAATTGTTGTCGTAAAGGCAAGAGCAACACACCGCTAACCCAAATGTAGATTTTTTTTTTTTAAATGAAACACTGTCTCTTTCTCTCTCACATGGTTAGTTATAAACTCTTTAGACTTTTAATGATTAGTGCTTTATTTTTAAAGTTTGTGGGTAAGAATCGTGTAAAAAAAAATCCTTTATTTTGGGGATGGATTCCAGGAAATCTCCCTTATTTTCAATGTTCAATGTTGACAGCTATGCACTAAAACATGACCACAGTATTTTCAGTGTACGTATGCAAATCAGCCTCCCTGATGCAAACGGATCATTTCAATCCTGGCCTCTGATTGGTTATCGCAGACAGAAGACTTGTTCCAATTTAAAATCAGTGATGGCTGCATTCACACCGGCCCAAACGAACCGCACCAAGGGGGAAAGCGAACTCTAGTGCGATTCAACTGAACTAAATAAGGCAGGTGTGACAGCACCATGAGGAAGGACACTAAAGTTTCAGATGTGTGTGAGATCTTGAGTGGTTCTTGAGGAGACCCGCCATCAAAGCAGAAGTTCAGGAGATCTGCGCTTACCTTGGAGAACTGAGCGTTGATCCACTTGGTGAAGGTCTTCTTCTGTACGGCATCGTGTTCGTCTGAAAGAGAGATGTGAGAGAGAGGGTTACAGCGGGTTTGTAAGCACTGGGCGATATGACCAACATCTTCTCACCACAACGATGCATATCACGAGATACAGTAGTTAGCTTTGTTGAGAAAAATAATAACAAAAAAGCCAATTACAAACACAAGGGACTTTAAAATGACAAAAATATGAATTAAACAACTTAGATTTATTTAACCCCTTAACGGTCACCATCCCGGTACCGGGACAAATAACTTTACTTCACTATATTTCTATTAAATCCTAATCTAATTATGACAAATTATATATCATTGGAAAGGTCTAAGACTCTAAGATATTCTACCTTGTTCTGTTTTACAAATTATGTAGGAAGAGTAATTGATGAATTTTTGACAAGAGTGCTCCTCAAAAAATCTGCATCATAACAGGAGGTCTGACCTTTATCACAAAAAGTCGATGCACCCACTTTTAATCCTTGAAACTTCTGTTTTTATGCTAAAACTTCATAATAAAACATATAATCTAGTATTTCAATAAAAAATTATAGTATATTATCCTCTAAAAATTATAATATATATATATTATTATATATATTATATTATATATTTTATCGCCTTTTTTTATTATACCACAAAGGTTTTCAAATTAGGCATCATTTGAAAGCTTATGAACTCAGAATTCATCCTGTGAAAACGTTGTGTTACCATAGAAACGGTACTTATTTAATCAGGCTCCTCCCCCTTTTGGGCATCATTATATTTCATAATTTATGATCAAAACCTTATCTAATCTTGACAAAACACATATTGTCAGAAAGATCTGTCTCGAGGTTCCAGATTATGTGACAAAATTGATATTTGGACAGAAATGTATTAATGTGTACAACTAAATTCAATGGAATTCAAAGGCACCCGGTGGCTATTTTTGGTACTACGCCTAAACAAAATCTCATGGGAACTTCAATTTTTGTGATATCAACTTTAAATTTGGAACATAACTTGGTTAGATTTATCGATTTGATTTTATAGTAATTTTAGAGTAAAAAATATTTTGTAAAATATATATTTTATATAACATAAAAAATATATAGTACAGTATATTTGATTTACTGTAAATTTAAACTTCCATAACTTTTGAAGTGTTTTCACTTCAGCAATAATCTGCGAAGTGTTTTCTTTAAAACAAGACCAAATTTGGGTATATATTCCAAAGCATTCTAGAATTAAATCCATTTAGCGCATTTTAACCCCCATTCTCAAAAAGGAGGGTGACAGCAAAGGGATTAATGAGTAGTTAGAAATAGTATACTATATACTGACAGATATAAATACAACCCAAATAAAAGTGTCCCATTTCCCTCATTAAAGTACCAGCCAGTCACATTTTCTTTATATTAGAGCTGTCCGCACAATTGCAAATCCAGCCCAGCATATTTCTGTAGAGTTCAAGCGCAGTTCTGCACACACTGTGTAGATATAACGCTTTCATCTACCAATAAAAGTCCATCACCAATAACAATCACTTCTGCAGACTTTCCTCCACAAACCCCATGTGTTGCTCTTCACCAGAGGCCTTTAAACCAGTTACTCATTGACAACGTTTAAACCGCAAGATGCCTTGAAGTATGAGACCAATAACAACTGTCAATCAAAGCTGACCCCCGACAGGAGGAGGCGGAGCCTAACGCAGGATCAAGTCTAAACTTTACAGCATTAGTGTCACAATGTGTCATATATCCCTGATTGAATCTAAACAGAGCCTGTGTGAGATCCTGTCAACAAGAGACAAGATTCCCACACACACACACACACACACACACGGAAGAATGTTCATAGCAAAAATCACTGTGAAAACCAGCTTGAACTCTAGAGGGATCAAAGGTTAAGACCACCAGCCTGCCGGGTCGCCTGATCTTTGGTGTGTGTGTGTGTGTGTGTGTGTGTGAGGGCCAGAAAGCCAGGAATGCACTGCAGGCAAGAGAGACAGTGTGAAGGAGAGTACACCACACATAACTCTCTCTCTCACACACACACACGTACACAGCCCACCTAGCACACGTGACACGTCGATCACACACAGGTAGAAACACATCATCATCACTGTCAACAATGCAGATGTCCATCAGTGTCATCTTTACTCATACTCTGCACAACTAACGGCTCTGAATGGACAAAAGAAGTGTTAGTGTAATAGATTGTATATATATATTTATATATATATGAAGAGTTTAGATGCAAAAGCCTCTAAATGCCATTTGAAATTTTCTTCTTTAATGATGATTTTTATCAATCTTGTATATTTAAGTTCAGTGATTTCACAAATGGCGATGATAATTACCTATTAATTGTCATTTAAGTGAAATTACTGAACTTAAACATACAAGATTGATAAAAATCATCATTAAAGAAGAAAATTTCAAATGGCATTTAGAGGCTTTTGCATCTGAACTCTTCATATATACATGTATACACTGTAAAAAATATTGATGTTTAACTTAAAAAAGTAAGTAACCTGGTTGCCTTAAAATTTTAAGTTCATTGAACTGGAAAAAGTGAGTTAATACAATGAAGGAGATTAATTTAACCATCAGAAACTCAAAATTATATGTTATCTGAACTAAATAGATTTTTTAAGTTGATTTGACAAAAGAAAAAATGTTGTGATTACTACACTGTAAAAAAATATTGTTGGTTTAACTTAAAGTAAGTAACCTGGTTGCCGTAAAATTTTAAGTTGACTGAACTGGAAAAAGTGAGTTAATACAATGAAGGAGATTAATTTAACCATATCTCAACTAAATAAATTATTATAAAGTTGATTTGACAAAAGAAAATATGTGAAAATATTTTTACAGTGTATATATGAAGAGTTCAGATGCAAAAGCCTCTAAGTGCCATTTGAAATTTTCTTCTTTAATGATGATTTTTATCAAACGTGTATATTTAAGTTCAGTAATTTCACTTAAATTACAATTAATAGGTAATTACCATTGCAATTTAAGTGAAATCACTGAACTTAAATATACAAGCTTGATAAAAATGATCATTCTAGAAGAAAATTTCAAATGGCACTTAGAGGCTTTTGCATCTGAACTTTTCATATATATATATATATATATACACACATATACATTTTTTATGTAGTAGAGAATGATGCCTAGTCTTAAGACCATGACATAAATTTGCACTGTGACATTTCCATGAAGTTAAAGGGATAGTGCAATCCTGTCATCATTTACTCATCCTCAAGATCTGCCAAACCTGCATGAGTTTCTGTCTTCTGCTGAACACGAAAGAAGATATTCTGAAGAATGTCAGTAATCGGACCTCATTGACGTTCATAGTATAGTTTTTCCTACTATGGAAGTCAATGTCTATCGTCAACTGTCTGGTTACTGGCATTTCAGTCAAAGTTGCTCTTCCATCAGCTTGAATCAGTCGGTTGATTAGATAATTGCATTAATGAGAAATTGAACAGGTGTTCCTGATAATCCTTTAGGTGAGTGTATATATATATATACACACATACACACTCACCTAAACACACACACATATATCACAGTCAGAAACATGCAATGAACAACACACACATCCTGCTCTGTCACACACACAAGCAAACACTTGCCTTTTATCTAAACCCTGACATTCCTAGAGTGACTGCAGCCCCACGCTCCAAAAACACTGCGTGTGTGTGTGTGTGTGTGTGTGTTATATCTGAGTGTCCATCAAACTTCGCTGTTCATCGCTCCCTGACTGACTGAAGGCATGTGTGGCATGAATTACAACTCACTCAGAGTCATTTAGCAATCCAGAGACAAGCTGAGGCCATAGTTCACAAAGCACCGTCACAAAACGAGACACAGTATCTCCATGATTAGGAACAGCGCTCGGCTTAAAGGGATAGTTCACTTTGAAATTCATTTTTGGTATGTTTTATCTTACCTCAAGGGCATCCAAGATGTAGGTGTCTTTGTTTCCGCAGTATTTTCAATTTTGATATTTTTAGGTCAAACCGTTCTTATAATGGAGGTCTATGGTCACCACCTCAAAGAGCATGCACAGAGAAGTCCAGATTAAACATGATTTAACGACTCGTAAATGTAAGTACACATTGATGGCCTAAGACACGAAACAAGAGGTTTGTGGGAGAAAACCAACAGTATTTATATCGTTTTTACCTCTTGTAACCACAGCCACGTCCAAGTGATCTGAATCAGATGTCCAACTGAACCGAACCGTATCGAAATCGTCTTGCGATTTCCCGTATATCTAAATATGTTTATTGAAAGGTAAAACTTCCGAAATCTCTGTGTAAACAATGCGTGACGTAAACGCGCGAGAGATCACTTCCGGCGTAACATCTGGAGACGGATCAGTTCGGTTCAGTTGGACATCTGATTCAGATAAGTTAGACGGCTGTTAACAAGAGGTTAAAACGATATAAATACTGTTCGTTTTCTCACACAAACCGCTCGTTTCGTGTCTTAGGCCATCAATGTGTACTTACATTTACGAGTCAATAAATCATGTTTAATTTGGACTTCTCTGTGCATGCTCTTTGAGGTGGTGACCATAGACCTCCATTATAAGAACGGTTTGACCTAAAAATATCAAAATTGAAACTACTGTGGAAACAGAGACACCTACATCTTGGATGCCCTTGAGGTAAGATAAAACATATCAAAAATTAATTTCAAAGTGAACTATCCCTTTAACGGCACTTTCAAATTCCCTTATATTAAGGGATAAACTTAAATAAACTTGTAATGAAGGAAGGACTCAGACATTACATAGACACTAGAATATTTCATATCTCAAACTCATTCAAAAACAACAAAAAATTACAGTTTGTGTTCATTTAGATTGCTAGCTATCTAAATGTGTGCTTGTTTCTGTACATTTTGATCACAGCTGTGCAGTAACTTCTTATATGAGATATTATGGGACATTCCATAATGCATAAAATTCCCATAATTGAGGCGGTGGATCCACCTCCCCTGTGAACTCCTGCCCG